ACTTACTTAACAATAGTGTCGATTATAAGAAGATTATCTATTTATTTTAGGGATATTTACAGATAAATATTTATATGATTTTATAGCTATAAAATAAGTGTAAAATGTAATTTCTTCTTGTTCTTATTACTTCTAATAAATGAGAGCAATAATTTAATAATTTTTATTAAATGGGAAAAGCATTATTGCCTTAATTTACTGTCTTAAAAATCTTATTGTTCGTTTTTAAATGGGTCACAAAATTAGAAAAAAAAAATTAGCAATTTCTAATTGATGTAAAAAAATCAACAAAAAATACAAATTTGTTGTACTTCTTTTTCACGATTTCAAAATTCGTCAATGAAAAATAAAACTATTGAAATGCTATTTACCTTACTTACAATCTAAATAACTATTTAGAAGCCGTACTTGAAAAAATTTCACAAAAAAAGCTATTGCACCTTCCTTTACAACAGTGAAATTTCTAGCCTAAATACCACATTATTTTTTTAATGCCCTGGCGCTTTATTTAATAGCAATTAACCTTGCTCCACTACAGGGTCCGAAAGCGGTGGCCATTTCATTTTGGAAGCACCTAGTAGGTGGCCATCGTTGTCTCATATGAAGGGACGGACAGTTACAACCATTCCTTCTAGGGCATTCGAGCCCGGGCTCTTCGTTACGGCAGTCAAGGTCACTAGCCACTATACCGGCTGGCCAGCAAACTTCCGCATTATTTAGCTAAATAAGTTACTAACATTTTGACGCTTTTTAAGCCGCTTAAACGGTAGAGTGGCTAGTGGGGCAAACTGCCGTACGAAGTGTCCGGGCTCGAATCCTGCAGAGGGCATGGATGTTTGTAAATGTATAGTGTTTCACGGCATGGTGGCGAAATGAACGCCGAGGAAAACTCTCTGGAGTAGTTTGGTGGTAAGGGAAAAGGGATGGAAGACCCACGGACTCGTCCCCCGTCTGCTGTTTTTCAAAACTGGGGACGACTTTGCCAAAATAAAATAGTACTGTCACTAGTATGATGGTCAAGGCTTATGACAACGACAAGTACAAGTGACGGGGGACGTGGGCATTGTGCCTCTACCATATTGGTTAATCAGTACAGCACCACGTCCACCATTAACTAGAACAGCCCCAGATGTCAAGAGGGGGAGGCACACGTCGTTCAAGATAATCTTGCCAAGATTAAATCGGCTTGTGCCGATTAGGCTAGACAATACAATAACCCCAACAGAAACATTTAAAAAGAACCGCCCTTAATTAATGCCTTTATAATAATGATCCAAATGATATGGGAAAATTACATTTATTCTGTAAATTTCTAAAAGAAACTTTCAAATGTAATTAGCGACAAAATTGGAATTTTGGGGAGTAAAGGGGGCTATTAAAATTAACAATAGTTATTTAAACTGGATGATTAATAGTTATTATGACTAATGATTGTAATGAATTATATTTTTATTTTGATAGATTTAAAAAAATGTTGTAAAACAACTTCAATGCATTTAAAAGAGAAAAAGAATGCAACCTACTTTAGCATCCTTCGCATAATATATAATTCAATCTCTGGAAATTACTTTTCCAGATATATTTTTCATGCAGAAAGAAATATATATATTAACTAGTCTCTAGTAGACAACTTTAACTAAACAATAAGTTTATTTCTCCAACTTTATGGCTTCAATATCTTTTGAGATATTGAAGTACAGCACTTCAAGAATACAACACGTCAAAAACCACTGCCTTCTCCAACTAAATGCGACAATCCTATTACATTCCACCACTGAGTACATTTGCAGCCATTTGGTTTCAAATTTTGCAGACAAAATCTTTGCTAATTTTTAATCTTTGCTAATTTAATGTATTAATTTGTACACATTTCTATTGTTTAAAATATCTTTTTTTACATATATTTCAATTATTTTACACTGCTGGCCATTTAAATTGGAACATCATGAAAGAAAATAAATACAAAAAAAAAGCTATTTATTGTACGTAAACAGTAATGCATGAAGACAAAATGATTAAATTTGTATGTATTTTGGAGGTTTACAGGGGTGTGAAATTAGTAGAAACAGCTGCCACTCCTGGTAGCTAACACGGCCCTTACCCCATTTCCATCCCATTAGCCATTAGCCATGGAGTCAAACTGGGTTTGGATGACAGAAATGGGCAATTCATTCCATGCTGCTTCAAGTCTATGCCACACTTCATCAACTTTATTAACTTGAGAGGGGTGGCGAGCCAGTCTTTAGCAACCCATGACCAGATATTTCCAATGGGTGACAGATCTGGAGACCGTACAAACCAGAACAGCAGTCGAATACCCTGTGTATCGAGGAAGGTCAAGAACACGACATGCAATATGTGGTCTTGCATTATCTTGTTGAAAGATGGCGTTTCGGAACCTCAAAGATAGGGCACAACCTCTGGACGTAAGATGTTAGAAATGTACCCATCTGCCATCATATTGTGTCCTTGGACACTCCAGACACGTATACAGTCATCAGTATACTACACGTAGAACCGGGACTCCTTTGAAAAGGCGACATTGTGCCACTCCTGTACCCTGCCTTGTCGTTTGGCATACCAGAGTAACCGTCTGTCTATGCTTCATTATCAAGGGAAGCCTATGTAATGGTCACCCTACTGATAGTCCACGCTGCTGCAAACATTGACGCACCTTACGAGCTGATACTGGGCGTGCTGCAAACATGCCCATTTCCTGACTAATGGTCCGTGATGTGGTGGTACGGTTTAGAAGCACTGACCTCACAATATATCTGACCTCTCGGGCGTTAGTCGTAGGAGGGCCTTGAGATCCCAGTTCAGTATGACTCTCAGCTATCCATTGATTCCAGATTCGCATGACAGTGGTTGGATGCTGACCAGTGCAACTGCCGATATCACCGAACGATAATCTGCACTTTCAATAGGCAACGATGCTGCCTCTATCCAATTTCGAAACTTACTGGTAAGCATTTGCTCTTCTTATTCGAGGCATAACACGATATTCTGAGCAAACTCCAATCTACCAAGCACTTTCCGAATGAGAAATCCACTAAATGTTTCTTGTATGCAGTGCTTCAGGTGTCGTTTTTCCCTCCTGCGTCTTCTAATCGCGCTGAAATACTAATCATTTGCATATCCCGACTTCTTCCTTTCCTGTGATTTTGACTTTCGTCAGATCATTCCTTCCTGATGTTTCAAATTTGATGGCCAACAGTGCATACTAATTTGTACAGGTCTCAATAATGTTTCATTGCTTTTACTTATACTGTGAAAGTGTCGGGGAATGTTTTTTCTAGAATGAGGATTTCACTTAATTCAGTTCTTAACAAGAACTTGTAGGGTTTATATTTATTTTAACTAACATTTATTTTAAGTTTAAGCTATCTTTCTTGTCAAGCTATTACTTTCCCCTAGAATTGCCAATGCCAGAGTATGTAAATCGTAGTAGAACGCGCAGAGTATTCAAATTTTAGCAGAAGTAAATTGAGTTAAATAGAGGGGAAATGAGATTGTAAGTGTGCTTCTTGAATCACGAGCGTGAAGGTTGCTAGGTAGAAATTTAAGAACCGCGCGTTTCGGTCTGTGTGCCTATTTCGGCAGTTCGTTGAATCTTTCAACTTCTTAATCAGAAAGTTTGCTGAATCTCAGCTGTATCTTAGAACGCGGTTAAGTTAGTTACGATTATAGAGCCTCGTAGGTAGTGACCTCGTTATTTATTCATCCTGTCATTTATTTTTAGTTTCACATTTCTGTTTTGTTACACCGCCGGGTCGGCGTAGTTTGTGAGCATCAAGTGAACGCAACTGTGATTTCTAAAGTGAAATAAAACGGGATTTAAACCCTTCTTACGAGTTTGTATAATTTGCAGTTTATAGCAGTCACTACTACTGTTGCTGACCAGTTGGGGCCACGCAACATCATAAACTTTAAATTAAAAAGGAAATCTTACTCATTCTTTTGGGTTTTGTTTATAAGTATTTTAGTTCAAAAAGAATAATTATCTTCCTCTTTTTTGAGTTTTGTGCATAGCTTATGATTTAACTCTAGCAAAATAACTGATTTGATTCATTCTTGGAAAAAAGACGAAACACTGTCACTTAATGTGGTTATTGTTAATAAATAGCGGATTGATTTGTTCCCCTTGACAAGACAATTAATACACGGCCAATAACAGTAGCTACCTTTTTAGTACTTTAAATTTTACCTTTTAGTTTTACTTTTTAGAAATTTTCCTGTTTAAAATAGTATTTCTATGCAACTTATTACAATAAATTTACTACAACAGAAATTTAAATTGCTTATACTTTAAATACTGACTCAAATTTATTCCAAAAATTCATCACATTAATTAAATTGATGTTCATTGGAGATGATATATAAAAAAAACTTCTCTAATAAAAATTACATATATATATATATATTATTTACGGAAATGGATTGATCCTTTTTTATTTGAATTTCTTTGGCAAACAAAATTCGTATTTTATCTACATTAACATACTATTTTCATCTATGTTTTAAAAAGGATATCGTAGCATTATGAGTATTTTTATTACCATTGTATTATCTATTTTAAAATGCATTCTTTATTTAAAAATTAAATAGTAATAAAAAATTAAGTTTCAGATAACGTGAGCAAGAAATTCTAAAGTTTTTGAAGTATAACTGAAGTTATGCATATAGCGTTATAAATCATTTTAATGCAGTCCGCATATGAATGATGAACTGAAACATATGTTAGTCCATACTGTATGTATATCTATTAAATATACGTAATATAAACGTAAACTAGGGACAGTGCTTCTTGTTTTATAATCTATAGGGAATGCTAATAAGGTTTTAAGTCATATTCGCGTTTATAAGGAATACACGTGTTTCCTCCTGTTGTATAATAAAATTTTGCGCATGTATACAATCATCCAATAATATTTCAGGATAATTTTGAGTAAATAATTTATATTCTGTTTCGGAAGATTTAAGTTAAAATTAAAACTTACCAGGTTTGGTAATAATAAATGAAGTGACCAAAGTGTAAGTCGAAAAAAATATGCAAGAAGCATAGTTCCAATAACCGCTCTTCATCTTAAAATTTCAAAAACCACTAAGCCTACATAGATTAATATTCCTCCGGAAAGAAAAGGCGTCACCAGCCACACAATAACGGAGCAGCTCGTAAATGATAACAGAACCTTCCTATCTCGACAGTCTGAAAATTTTTATCGGTTCCAGGAGAAAAATTTTATTCACGTTATCTTACTTTTTTCTCTCCAAAGTCCAAATACATGCCTCGCTCGCTCATTATAAAATTTACACTGCCCTAGATATATGTAAGCTGCAGACTTAATTCACAATCCTTCGCCGAATAAGATGATTTACTCTTTTTGTAACTGGGAAGTATAATCAAAGAGATATTGTAACTTATTTAGAATTTCAAACAAATTGTAACAACTTTTAAATGTATGAATCCGAAACTGCGTAAAATGGAAACCATTTCATGAGTATGTAATGTTGCGCGCTTCCAACCTGCACGCAACAATAGTGGTGACTGCTATGAACTGGAAAGTATACAAAGTTTTGAGAAGGGTTTAAATCCCTTTTTATTCAACTTTAGAAATTACAGATGCGTGCTCTTGACGCTCACAAACTACGCCGACCCGGCGGTAAAATAAAAATAAAAAACTAAAAATGAATAATAACAAGTGACTACCTACGAGGCTCTCTAAACGTAACTAACCTAACCGCGTTCTAAAATACCGCTGATAATTCAGCAAACTTCTGAATATTCTGTTGAAAGATTCGACTATCTGCCGAGGCAAGCACACAGGCCGAAACGCGTGGTTCTTCAATTTCTACCTAGCCACCTTCACGCTCGTGAAGCAAGAAAGCACACTTTCGAACTCGTTTCTCTTCTATTTAACTCAGATTACTTCCGCTGACAATTTTGAATACTTTTCGCGTTCTACTAAAATTTACATACTCTGGCATTGGCAGTTCCAGGGGAAAGTAAGGCTTGACAGGAAAGATAGTTTAAACTTAAAATAAATGTTAGTTAAAATAATTATAAACCCTACAAGTATAAAGAATGCTGTTAACGTTATGATGTATTCACCCTTCCTTTCTGCATGCCTTCGTGGTATTAGAGTGAGCACACTCGGCGCGCATTCGAGAAGTTCAGATTCGATTCCCGGCGAGGACACTGCTCATTTTTTACGTCTTCCGCTTCAAAAATAACCTAGTAAATCTACAAAAGCACCCGAACTAAAAAGGTGGTGGATGATGATTCTTCACCACCAGGATTTGGCGACTAGGTCCTCTAATCCCCAGGTGCCCTTTAAAAGGGGTAGTATATCAGCAGACCGTCGTTTATGTCATCATGGATAAGGGGGAGTATATATTTTCTCCCTCTTTTCTGCATGCCTTCGTGGTGTAACGTTTAGCACACTCGGCGCGTATTCGAGAGGTACATGTTCGAGTCCCAGCGAGGGCAGTGCTCATTTCTCATATCTGCTGCTTAAATTAACCCAATGTCTCTACAACTTTTCCATAATAGCTTAATTCATTAATATTTTCCGAACCCGCCTATGTAATCTAAGCATAGTGACTGTTATTAGTTTGAAATATTCATCTGTATCGCTTTGTAAAATATAAATCCATTAAATCTGGGCATAAATTAAGCTTCAAATTTATTTTATCTTTTACTAATTAAGCTCGTTAATCAGTGTTTAAAGAACAACAAAAAGATCTGGGTTAGTCAGGAAGGAACTGCTAATAGCGCGTACAATGTACAATATAGGGAAAGGTATATTGTACATAGTGTTCGGAAACTGTATGCGGGATTGTACATTGTATACAGAATGGTATATTGTGCATTATTTTCTTGAATGTTAAGGGTACACATGTATATCAGAATATAAAATGTTTTTAAAGAACATTAAGTTTCATGAAAACTGTTTTGCTCATAACAAAGTTGGTCCTTTGTTAATAAACAGTTCCATCTAAGAACAAATCGGAATCCAATTAATATTGTAGCTGGCGCTTTCGAAATATTTATTACTTTTTTAATATGGCAAGTAAAGTTCTCGAGCTTTTTCTCAACTTATTAAAACGTAACAATACGTATTAATGGAATTAATGGATAATGCCTAAAAAGTTAAAATTTGTTTTTACACCATCTTCCCCAATTGTTAAGAGACTCCATCTAAATACCATTCATTCAGTCCGTTCTCCAGTTAAAAAGGATAAAAACTGAAAGGTTTTAGATAATTAACTGTAGCCTAAAAGGGTTTCTTAAGGTTTTTACGCTGTCGCTGAGCTCATAGTCTATTTTTACACACACTCCCACTAACCCATGTTTTTCTCTTTTTGGCTTTTTTATACAATTCAACAGAAAATTACAAAAATTCTAAAAGCAGGACAGAAATATAGGTATAGAATTCCCGATGCGGCGTTAAGTTGTTGGCATATATTTTTCTTTTTTTTTTCCCCTATCTTTTCTTAATCCATCATATCAATGTTAAGTTTTCTTAGTAAACTGGCTCACAAAACTTTTTTCTGTCTTTTTACTTCCTTGTACGAAGTAAAAAGAAAGTATTGTAATCGTGAAAAGTTTCAGGCATCATATTTCAACGAAAATATCCATTTTGACCGCTATCGAATGCAATTTAACAATGTTTTTGCATGATATCTGTACTTAAGGACAGAACAAAATACTCTTTTCCTTCAAAAAAATTATAAAACTGCTTTAAAAGAAATTCTTAAGAGAATTTTTCGTGGCGTCTGTACGAACGTACGTACGTATGTATCTCGCATAACTCAAAAACGAGTAGCCTCAGAACGTTGAAATTCTGTATATAGGACTGCTATAACATGTAGATGCGCACGTCATATTTTGGTTGCAATCGGCCGCACCAAACGTATATAAATATATTTATATATATATCCACTCTGTTACCCGACTCAGTGATCTCACTTTCTTTATTCTTACATGTTTGTAAATTGTACATTTTTTGCTTTAAAAATGATTGAATTATGTTGTTCTTATCTCCCGGTTAAGGTTTTTATGCCTTTAGTAAATCTCTATGCAATATTTTTAGAATTATCAACAATTTAAAGTTGTTTAAGTGCCGCTAAGCCTTTTTTTTATGGCGGCCATTGCTTGTTTACATTTGAAACAGCAGGATAGTGGATTTGTTGCCGATCTAGAGAAACTTAGCTTCGCAACGACAAAGATAACGCCTTATTTATTATTGCGAATTAAATCATCCTTAATCCTTTCTGGAATTTTTTCGAGGAAATAAGTGTTTCAGATTTACTTCGTAATTTTTAATGTAGATATTTTGAGTTTTTATGTATTTTTGCCTTTTCGGGAAGTGAGAACTGAATTAATTGAATGAGAAATACTCGATCGTCTGTGAAAAACTGTTTCTTTTTTGTTTTATTTGCTTAATTTATTTATACATCATTTTAGCTTTATTATAGTATTTGAATAGAACATGTGGCAACGATTAGATAATTCTTTAAATGATTTAAATTTTGTGCATTCTGAGTTATAATATGAACGAAATATAATACTGTGAAGTGAACCTACCGCCAGAATTTCGCTATGATAATTAAATAGAATGAATTTTAAAGAATACATTTATTCTACTGTGGTTTATTTTATGCGTTTTTTTTTTTTTTTTTTTGTTTTTTTTTTTTTTTTTTTTTTTTTGTGCGCGAAGTCAGATTTAATTATAATTTCAATCGTTTAAATGAAATGCAAGAAAAAATGTGTATAATTTAATATTCCGTACAAGGAAGTCATGTGTTGTACACATAAGATTTTTTTATTAACTTTGTGTGCGAAATATCAAATTCTCGATGCTTGCATCACATAAATTTATTTCAACAACAAAATCACAAAGTATTTAAAAAGAGCATATCTTTAGAATTTCCGATAGACATTCTCACGCGTTGGAGATTAAAATGTTCTATTCCGTACAATATTAGCACTGCTCGCTTTGAAATCTTTAAGTTTGTTAATAAAAATTCGTTAAAGTTTTTCAAAATATGATATATATAATAGCACAAATTCGGGCTTCCAGGTGCCCGAGTTCGGGTGGAGTACTACGTTATTCAAAACTGGATGGCTCTAGGTACCATTGATTTTTCTCAGTGGGAGAAATAAATATTATTTAATTTCTTTAAATATAATACAGGGCGATGATATTTGATGGCAACAATTTGGAAAGTGGTACAACACATTCAAGTGTTTCGACGCAAGATGCCTTTTTGCGACTCATATCGTATTTGGGACTAACGTCTCTTTTGGGCTAAAATAAACTCAAAATAGGAATAGGAATTAAAATAAAACAAGATTTCCACTTAAGAACGGAAATACTGTGCATCGCACATCTTTAATATTCTTAAAATTTTAATTTTTAGTGATGCCAAAACAAGAAATAACTTTAGACAAATTTACGTTTACACAACTATTGAGTTAATCGCTGTACCAAAACGGCGTTGAGAATATTGTCATAAAATCCCTTACCTTGAAAGCACATATCATCTATGAATATTTAAGGAAATAAAACTTCTAGCAATATTCTTATCTTTTAAGATCTCTCATTTAAGATTTGAGCAACTGTCAGACTAATGAGAAAATAAAATTTTTTATCAGTTCAACGGGGCTATTTGCCCTGAAGGACTATTATTTTTGTTTTGGCATTTTGCGTTGGTTCACTATAAATGTCCGATTCACTTTTCAAATTGTTGCCACCAAATATTTTTGTCCTTTATTGCATTTAAAGAAATGAAATAATGAAGAATCTGCATAAATGTATGTATGTTTCTCGCATTGCGATAAAACAACGGTTCTTAGAGCCATACAGTTTTGAATAACGTACGTTTCCACCCGAATACGGGTATCTGGAAGCCCAAATTTCGAATTTGTTTTAATTATTCATTTCATATTTTCTAAATCTTTAATTAATTTTGGATTTTGATTAACAAACTCAACGATTTAAAAGCGAGCAATGGCAACACTCTACGGGGAACAAAAGACCTTTTCATCTCCAGCGTGCGGAACTGGGTATCGGAAATTCTAAAGATATTTTTTAATTATTTTGCAACATTGCTGTTGAACTGAATTTTATGATTTAGGTGCAAAGAACATGATATTTAATAAATGAAG